GAGAGAGAGAGAGAGAGAGAGAGAGAGAGAGAGAGAGAGAGAGAGAGAGAGAAAGAGAGAGAGACCGAATCGAGAGAGAGAAAGAAAGAGAGAAGAGCGAAAAGAAAAAGAAAGAAAGAAAGAGAGAGAAAGAGAAGAGATACGGTTAGGGAAAGAGGGAGGGATGGAAAGAGGAAATGGGACGAGGGAAAGGGTTGAGGCCGCTTCCCACGTGGCTCCAGAACCCTCCTGCAACTGTACCCTCTGTGAACCACTTTATCGCCCCTACATCTGTGTGTGCGTCGACTGTAGGTGTGCGCTCTCTCTCTCTCTCTCTTCTCTCTCTCTCTCTCTCTCTCTCTCTCTCTCTCTCTCTCTCTCTCTCTCTCTCTCTCTCTCCCTCTCTCTCCTCCCTCCCTCCCTCCCTCCCTCCCTTTTCACCCACTGTAGGTGTGACCTATCTCTCTCTCCCTCCCCCCCCCCTCTCTCTCTCTCTCTCTCTCTCTCTCTCTCTCTCTCTCTCTCTCTCTCCTCTCTCTCTCTCTCTCTCTCACACACACACACACACACACACACCACAACACACACACACACACACACACACACACACACACACACAACACACACACACACACAACACACACACACACACACTAGCGCACACACACACACACACACACTCTCTCTCTCTCTCTTACTCTCTCCCTCCCTCCTCCCTCCCCTCCCTCCCTCTCTCTCTCTCCTCTCTCTCTCTCTCTCTCTTACTCTCTCACTCACTCCCTCCTCCCCTCCCTCCCTCCCTCCCTCCCTCCCTCTCTCTCTCTCTCTCTCTCTCTCTCTCTCTCTCTCTCTCTCTCTCTCTCTAACCCTTCGTGTACGTCCGTGTACGTCTTTGTTTATATGCATGTGTCGCTTCTCTCTCGCCATGTCCCTTTGTCTCTCTCTCTTTCACTCTTCCTCCTCCATTCCCAATTATCCTTCATTTTCTCGCTGTCCCTCTCCCTCTCCCTTTTAACACTTGCCTCATTCCCCTTCAGCGAAGTCTCCCCTGCGTCCTTTTCCCCTTCCTTACATCCCCTCAATCCTCGCTGCTTATCCCTACAGGCCACACACACTCAGCTACGTTCATCTGTCAAGCATCCGCGCCTCCGCCAGCTGCACTCTGCCGGCCTCGCGAGCTCCTTTCCGAGTCTGACCTCGGCTTGGCTCTGTTTCCCTCAAGGAGCCGTTTGCGGTTCTGCTCCACTGTTCCCCGTGGTCTTGGGGTCGAGGTTCTGAACGTGTCTGGAACATGTATTGCTTTTTTTTTTAGGATTTATTTATTTGTTTGTTTGTTTTTAGGATTCGATATTCTGTTACGTCTTTCTGTTGCGGTTTGCTCCACTGTTCCCCTTGGTCTTGTGGTCGAGGTTTTGAACATGTCTAGAACATGTATTGCGTTTTTTCTTTAGGATTTATTTATTTGTTTGTTTGTTTTTAGGATTCGATTTTTCGTTACGTCTTTCTGTTGCGGTTCTGCTCCTTCGTCACTGTTCGCCTTTGGATTTGTGGTCGATGTTTTGAACATGTCTAGAACATGTATTGCGTTTTTTTTTAGGATTTATTTATTTGTTTGTTTTTAGGATTCGATTTTTTCTTGTTTCGTTTGATTTCTCTTGATTTTTTTTTTTTATAGATTCATATTTTGTTTCCTTTTTAGTTTTCTTGACCTCAATTTCATTCTCTCTTCATTTCGTTACCGTGTTGCAAATAAACTGAAACTCACTGTCCTCTTGGCTTGTGGTTCTTTGTCTTGAACATGTCTCAAACGTGTCTTGCCTTCTCTGCAGGACTGTTTTTTTCTTTGTTTATTTATTTATTTTTTTTATTCCCTTATTTGTTCTGACATCTTTCAATTCTTCATTTTTATTCCAAACTTGTTTTTCATCTATTTCAGACTCATACTCTCTCTCTCTCTCTATGTTCCTCTTTCTCTCCCTCTTTCTCCTCTCTCTCTCTCTCTCTCTCTCTCTCTCTCTCTCTCTCTCTCTCTCTCTCTCTCTCTCTCTCCCCTCTCCTCTCTTCTTCTCTCTCTCTCTCTCTCCCTCTCTCTCTCTCTTTCACCCGTCGCATAAACTGAAGCGCAAACAGGCTTGGCTTTATAGATTGTCCCTCATCAAAATAATCCAATAAGTGCCATCATTTCCACAGTTGTTTAGCCAAGCAGATGTGCGCTTTAAATGCATTTCAACGTCGACATGAAAACCATTCGAAATCCTCATGTCATACGTTGCACAGAAGGGTGATTTTGGCGCAGCAAGATTGATTAGCTCCTGATGAAACCGCTCGGGCATTAATTTCAGCAAGGCAAGTATGTGAATATTGGCTAATAACCATGCACTCAGACTCCTTTTTCGGTCGGGGCGGAGTTTTCGTTCTTTGGGCTACGCGAACGAGGCGGATTCATAACGCGCGAACGGAGGAAAACAGATCTTGAGCAGAGTTATGCCTGAATAAAGGTTGGGGCAAATATGTATGCATTATATAAACAGCACACACACATACACACACTACACACACACACACACACACACACAACACATTAATATAAATATGTAAACATTGTATGTATTATATATATAATATATATATTATAATATATATAATAATATATATATATATATATATGTATACACCACACACATCACACACAACACAACACACCACACACACACAACACAACACACACAACAACAATATATATATTATATATATAATATATAATATATATATTATATTATATATATAATATATTATATATATATATATATATATATATATGATATATATATATATATATTATATATTATATATATATATATTATATATATATAACACACACACACACACTATATTATATATATATATATATATATATATATATATATATACAATTATATATATATATAATATATATATATATATATATATATATAATATATTAATAATATACATACTATATTATATATATTATATATATATATTATATAATACATATATATATATATAACATATATAGTATATAATATAATATATATATATATAATATGTATGTTATAAATATATATATATATATAATATATATATTATATATATATATAGTTTATATACATGAAATCACACACACACACACAC